AAAGGGCCTCTGGTGGCTTCAGGCTCCTCTCGATCACGCGAGCATCCTTCGAGAGAACCTCAAGCGTTCGATCAAGAGGTCCCGGCGCGGCTGGAGGCGACCCAGGGCGCCTCTCCAGAATGCCCCTGCGAGGCAAGAATCATAGAACCCCCTGTGATTGCTGAGTGGTTTTGCCTTTCTGGATCTTCTGCGCAGGAGGGCCGCATCCGACAGAGGATTCGAATGCCCATAGCAGCGCGAGGTGAGAAGGAGGTGCAGAGGACGAGGAGAAGGACCCCCCGCCTGCGCAACCCCACCACTCCTTCCTTCCGCCTTACCCCTTCTCCTCCTCCTCCTCCTCCTCCTCCGCTTCCGGTTCGAATGTTTTCCAGCGCCACGACGCACGACAACATGGGTTGAGGGAGGCATGGTCATTTTAGTTTGCGTCGCTCTTTCCCGTAGGAGCACGAAGGATTGTTGAACCCAAGCGCCGAGTCGAGTCCTCTCTTTCCTCCTCATCATCCTTCCTCCTCCTCCTCCTCTTCCTCCTCCTCCTCTTCTTTGTTCTTGCTCGTCCTCCACGCCTTCATGCTCATCCTCCCTCCTCCTTTCCTCCTTCTTCCTTATATCTCTCCCCGTCCTCCTCCCACATCATCATCACCACCATCAAACGGCTCCGAGAATGCGACTCAGGCCTCAGGACGGCCACAAGACGCCTCCCAAGACAGCCCAATACCCTCCCAAACTGTCTTAGTCGGACCAGTACCGTCCAAGGTCGGCCTGAGATGATGGCCCTGAAGCATCCCCAGATTCGTCCAATGACACATATCTGCAGAGCCCGAGGACCTCCCCAATAAGGTTGCTCTGGGACCCGTCGGGGCACTGATGCCCCCTACAGTGGGGGCGTGTGCCAAGAAACCAGTTGGATTTTGCCAGGGTGCCCTGGGTTTCTTGGATTCCGATGTGCCACCAATAAGGTCTTGACGGTTCTCGATCGACGAATTTGGGTTCTCGCTGGACACATCGCGGATTTCAGGGTTGGGTTTCTTGCAGAGGTTTCTTCTGGCCGAGCCCCCACTGTACACGGCCCTGGCGTCGCTCGGACGTGTGCATTTTTCCTTCGGCGAGGACCATCGAGGAGCATCCTTGACCATTTGTGGAAAAATCCACGCACGAAACCGAAAAAAACACAGGGAATGGACGTCTGAGCGATGGCCAGAGATCCCCCAAACGGGTCTCCAAGGAGTGCCCGGGGCCTACGGAACGACTGCCCGAGACGGGCCGGCGACGGCCCCGAGAGGCAGCGCGGTATGCCAACATTGTTGTGGCGTGGCCTTCTCCTGCGCCTTAGATATTCCTCGACGGACGGCGGATGATGATGATGATGATGATGATGATGATGATGATGATGATGATGATGATGATGATGATGATGACGATGACGATGACGATGATGACGATGATGATGATGAAGATGATGATGATGATGCTGATGCTAGTGATTATGATGATGATGATGATGCTGATGCTGATGCTAGTGATGATGATGCTGATGATGATGATGATGATGCTGATGCTGATGATGATGGTGGTGATGATGCTGATGATGATGATGATGATGCAGATGATGATGATGCTGATGATGATGATGATGCTGATGATGACGATGATGATGATGCTGACGATGATGACGACGCTGATGATGATGGTGCTGCTGATGCTGCTGATGATGCTGATAATGATAATGATAAGTATAATAATAATAGTAATAATTATCATAATAACAATAATAATCATAATAATAATAATGATAATTATGATGATGATGATGATGATGATGATGATGATGATGATGATGATGATGATGATGATGGTGATGGTGATGGTGATGGTGATGGTGATGGTGATGGTGATGGTGATGGTGATGGTGATGGTGATGGTGATGGTGATGGTGATGGTGATGATGATGCTGATGCTGATGCTGATGCTGGTGATGCTGATGATGATGATGCTGCTTGTGATGACGACGATGATGATTATGATGATGATGCTGACGATGATGATGCTGTCGCTTCTGCCCCGGCTTTGGGCTGTGTCGGGCCAGGGCATAGGGGGCTGACGGCAGGGCGGGGGGCACCGCGCGCGCGCGCAGCGCCTCCTGGGAGAGAGCGCGGCGACTCCGGCCCCCTCCCACGGATCGAGCGCATTGGCATACGTGCGCGGCACGAGCGCGATTTCATTGCCTTCTTCTCGTGTTCGCGGGAGGCGCGGGCCGCGCATCCCGCGCCCGCCAGTGGGGCATTGCTGTTTCGCTGTGCGGCCTGCTGGCACGAGCGGGAGGCGGCCATGGGCCTGCCCCGCGCTGCCCCGGGACGCCACCTGCTCAGCGAGGCCGCCAGCGCAGCGAGCGACGCCGGGGCACCAGAGGCGACGCAGCGGCGCGCGGCCCGGGCAGGCTGGGGCGACGTGCGCCAGCATCCGCTGGGCCAGCGGCCAGCGCCAGGGGCCCATCCCCTCTTCA